ATCGACAGGAATATAATCAGAGCAATTTTCCACTCTGTGGATATTCGCAGACATTATCTGGACCATTAATGTTCTATCTATATCATCTCAACCAGTAATACATCCTAGTCTTTCTAATTATACTCATGAGTCACTGAAACTATCTTATTCAGATAGTTATAATAATAATTAAATTGAGTAGGTACATTCTCGCAACTAGGGTGGCTAGGGGGGAGGCTTAGTCCCCCCTGACTAAGACTTAGCCTCCCCAAAAATATCCCTTATTGATTTAGATGTAAGCCCCCTATGGGTTCTTTTAAATAAATAGTTTTTTCAGCCCCCCCCCTTGAATTTTAACCCTAGTTGCGCCTATGAGTTGGTACCTAACTAAATGTATCAAAAGTTTTTCAACTTAGAACATATTATACAGGTACATTTTCTTTTAATAATGTTTTGTTTAATTTATTTTAGACCATTTATAATACTGTATATATTTATAATCTGAAAGACCAGCGTTTTTTTTTTTTTGAATTTCACAATTATTATTAGAACTTTACAAAAAATATTACTTATTATTACCTATTATGGACTTAAGGACTCCACATACTTCAGTAGTTGGGGTAAAATTTTGTCCGGACTCATTTTGCAGTAACCCCTACCGCCACCGCTGCAGTATGTGGGGACCTTAAGACTGCAAAATGTGGAATCATATTAATATATTATTTTTAATTTTTAATTTTTATAACTAATTGACACGTGGCTATTGTATTTATGATTTAATAATTTGTATTATTTTTACTATAAATATTCATAGAGCTAAGATTGCTACCTACAATTATTTTTTATTTCATAATAAAAAATATAATAAAATTAATTTTGCTTCTTCAATAAATATTAATGTATATAATATGTAACATATATTTTATGCAATGTATAACTGGTTTACCTTAATGTCACTAGCAATCTTTCTTCAGGTGGTGTTAAATCTCGTAGAATTGTATTTTCTTTTTGCAATCTATGCTTTATTGGCGAATGGCGATGACTAAAAATTAAAACAATCAGTTTAAATGAATAGGTACCTACAATTATTTTAAATATAATTTTTAAAACTGAACCATTCATAATAATAATAATTTTACTTACCAGTTCATCAAATGATGAAATTGACATACGGTAGTACACTAGTACCAACTTTAAGAACTTGTTTACGTGAAACCTTGGTCATAATGGAACTTGAAATTTAAGGGCTCACTGCAACGAAAAGGAAAGTCCATTTTTATCAAAAATCAGTTTTTCCATGGAAGAAATACTATATTTAGGTAGAAAAATCAGAAAAATCGCTTTATTATTTCCAAAGACACCTCAAACTGAATTATTTCCCGCCAATAGAGGTAAATGAGACAATGAATTTTGTTTTGCTTTTCCTGAACATATGATAAAAGTGGACTTGCAGTGAGCCCCTCAATCGACCCTTGTCGAGGCCTTTTCAGGTTTATAGGATGAACCAAAAACGTCTTTTTGTTCTTATTTTCAGTTTTTTTTTATGCAATAAAATATACGTAAGTCAAAAAATAATTTTTCGTACAACACATTTTAATTAAACTAAAAAATTGCGGCTTAAAAAGTATGAAATGTGCTCACGAAAATACAAGATCATAGCTGAACGAGTAACCACTACCGAGATAGTGATATTTGGTGCTTTTAACCGCATAAAATGAAACAACAAACTTTCCACGAACTGAACCCATCAAACAGCGGCCAAAATTTCAGTGATCGAGGGTGTACGGTATTTATAGATTTCACTGTATTATTATATTATGTTAATCAAATTTTTTTATATAAAAGACAATTTTCTTATATGCCTATGGTAAGGTACCTATAATCAGATCATATTAATAATTGATGCTCGAAATTGTATTGTTTTTAAATTATAGCTGGCCTTGCATTGGTGTTTGTTAAGTTCCGTATATTTTACGCCTTAAGCGAGTATAAATAAATATTAACACAAAACTCGAAAAATTCGTGTAACACACTACACACATCGATTGTTTTATATAATTTAAAAATATTAAAATATATTTTCACACGTTAACACTATTTTATAATATTACTTACGGTCGGAAAACGGTGTGGAAAAATAATGCATTTTATTAACAGGGTTGTGGTCCCAGGTTCACTACCAGCCTGCATATCTATCCCATTGAATCATTTCCAAAATGACTCCAAGTAAATATTAGGAGATTAGTCCAAGTAATAAGTATAGATAATATTCGTTTCAGTCTTCATGCAATGATCGGCCGTCGATATGAGGTAAGTAAGAATTATTATGAAAAAAGTGGGACGATATAATATTGTGTGACTCCCGACGGGAGAATAGGTACAGTTAAAAATGATTTTGTTTTTAAAAATATTAAAATAAATATATATTTGATATTAATATACACATTTTTTTTTCTTATGGTATTTCGGCGGTACTCCACCCACACTGATGTTCTGTCTAAAATTATAAATTTCTTAATTAAAATGATTCTTAATAGAGATTACAGTCTTCTAACTTAATTTATTTCATGCTCTTAATTCAAACTTATGAACGACATGTTCTATTATCGACGTATAAAGTTAGTATTAGTAAATTTCAGCCTACATATTGTTACAATACAAGAATCAAAAATATTTTAATTTAATTGCACTGTTTAATCAAACAAATTTTAGGACTCATTGTCCCATCACAAAGGAATTTTTTGATTCGTAAATATATAATATTAATTTAGATATAATTTTGTCAATTTTAACAACTATACAAGAAATATATCAGCAATATTTTACTACTTCATAATTTGTAATTATTGTAAAGGTACCTACTTAATGTCTTAATGTTGTGTTTCTGATATTGTAGTCTTATATTAATAAAATATGTTTATAAATTATATTTTCTTAAGAACTCATTTATTTTAAACTCGGCTACACCGTCACAAGCATTTATTTTATGCTCAATAATTGTGCTTGCAATTTTTTGGTTATGTTATATTATTTCTATACGTATGTATTTTTATTGCTAAATATATTACTATTATTATTATTATTATTATTATTATGTAATGTGTACTTAAACATAAAACTAACGTAATATTATTTTTTGGAAATGGTTTTCATTGGAAATGTTCTCCTTTTTGTCGACGGTTACTTCCTGTGTGCGTTAATAAAATATATATTGCAATTTTAAACTACCGTTTCTCGTCGTCGCATAATTTTATTATTTTTACTATCTACTAATAGCGTAATCTACCAGACATCATTTACAATTTCATTGTTATTCAACTTCGATAATAATAGCAAATGGTTATGGTTTTCCATTGACTTTTGCTCGTTTCCCTAATAAAAACTCAAGACATTAACATACAAATTTGTTCGTTTGTCCACATTTTTTTTTTATTCGAGTTGTATTCTTATTAACAATACTATTATTAGTCGTTAGTTTGAATATTAGTGTTATAGTTCACTAATCTATTTTGTTTTCTATATTTGGTGCATCATTATTTAATAGTTTATTTTGTTCATTAGTATAGTCGCTTAGTGTGATAAATATCACTACTTTTAAAATTAAATCTCGTTCTGTAATACATTAATAATAATTAATATGTATTAAAATTTATATTGTTGTACAGTACTGTAATTTATTTCGGTTATCGATGCGGTTTGGTTTTGCACGGTCTCCGTTAAATTCTCGTATTTAACGAAATGTGTTCAAGACCTTGATTGAAAACAAAAATAGGTATAAAATAATAATTTGTTGATGTATAAAAATGTTGTTTTTGTACTCATTAACGCAAGTAGGGTATACTATTAATAAAACAATATGATATGTCACTACGAACCGTCCAGTTTGGTCTATAATATAATAATATATAAACAAAAGTGTAATGTTATGGTAAATTATTTTGTTGTTCATGCCGTCTATATATAGGCATTTTATTACAAGGTTAACTAATACAATATTTAGTGTAGGTACTCTATTCATGATGTTACGAGAGAAAATAATATCATAAGTTATAATATTATGTTGTGTTTTATATGAATTTTTTTTTTACCGTATCTTTTTGTAAATACAAAAACGTATACGCGCTTGTTTTAATAATAATATCACCATGCGTTTATCATCTCACAATTACAGAAAACACAAAAAACAGAACAAAACCATAATATTAAAAAAAACAATTCAAAATAAAAAACACTAATGTTGGTACTTATCTCTTCACAAGTTCTGTTCACTGAGCTGATCAATCATTACAAAAGTTTTTCATTTGTATTAGTATAATATTTTAATAATCATATAAAAATATTATAATATATTACTGCAGTGATGAATTACATCGATCATGTCTTCATCGATCTTCTGCAGTGATTCAAGGTATATCGAGTTATACCTAAACGAACGTATCGTGAATCGTATAATAATGGCCGTGAACTATTATGTTGTTTTGTTCTTATCATAAACAAGTGAACTAAACCCATGTGTTTCTAGAAGCACATTCATTTTTTTTCTCAATAATTCATTTAAACAGACATATTTTTACATAAGTATTTGTTTTTTAAAATTAAACTATACATTTTTATTCGGGTCACAATACGTGCATCCCAGTGTTGAGGTATTATTGGTACGAAAAAAATTTGTAAATATCGTATGATTTTTCTATACTTAAAAAAACTATAAATATTGATCTGTCATACGTCCATGAAACATCTCTGAGGGTCGCAAACTTATAACCGATTAAATAAATATTTGTCAACAAAAACACGTTTTCGATCAAGATTTCTTAAAAGTTTTTACATGCTAAAACGTTTTATAATTCTTCAACATTTTCGTCGTCTTCAAAGTTTTGTAAAGATTGCCTATGCGGAACCCCTTTAAAATCGTGACTGGCGCACTCGAGGCAAATTTAGTCTAATATTTTATTTTCATGATTATTTTCCTTTTAAAATTTACCAATTTACATTCTTTCTTTCTTTCATTATTCCGATTTTTATAGGCCTTTCAGGCCCATTTCCGCAACAACATATTGCCTCCATTCTTCCCTGTCGTTTGAAATTTCCTGTGTGTTCCTTACTCCTATAATATCCTCAGATCTGCCTTTAGCCTGGCTTCCTGTCTTTGTCTGGGTCAGCCCTGTTATTTGTCCAATTAGTCCTGCCGATCTCCATATATGCTCAGCCCAACTTATTCGTGTACTTTTCAAGGTTCCAACCATGCTAGTTCTTCAAAATGTTTGTTGTTTCGTATTTCATATTCTCCTTCGTTATTTCTTTTTGGATCAAATATTTTCCTCAATATCCTTCCCTCAAACATTCCAACCTTTTTTTCATCCAATATAGTAGTGGCCCAATTGATATCAAATGTACCAAATGACATTGATTAGTAAAAATGTTTGTTGTAATTTTTATCGTAATCGACCAGAATAAATGTAATAATATAATAATATAATAAAAATATTATTTAATAATATATTATTATTTTTTTTATTGTAGGTAATTTCTTTTCTATGAGTAATAATATGTTATTATATGAAACTGAAATAGTGAATTATTTTTAATAATAATGTCAGTCAATGATTGATTGAGTAAATGGCAATAGAAAGTCTTCGTTGGCTAGGCTTAAGTAATAGTTACTGAATTAAATTCAAACAATTATAAATTATGGTTTACACATAGGTTTTAATAAAAAATAAATTCCAAGTTACGAGTATTAATATGAGTTAGTACTTATCGGTTGTCATCATAGTCTGTAAAATTCAAAGTTAGACAATGTACATAAAAATCATAATTTTATCCATTCACACAATACTATATAATAATGTTGAATATTCATACATTTTTTAAAATTTAAAATTAAAATATACATCAGTTATGAGATAAAAAACTATACAGACTCTTTTCTTAAATTTAAAGTTTAAACGCTAAGGAGTACCACTCTAGGTAGTAAAAATAATTAAAAAATGTGTAAAATATTTTTTTAATTATTATTTAAATATATGTTTACGTTATCTTGTGAAATAAACTCATAAATAAAATTAATGTACTTAGAAAAATTGACAGATTTGGTAGCCTAATGACTTTTGTAACAAAAAGTATTATCAAAAATTAAAAATGGGTTTGTTAAAATAACGCTTAAAGTCTCGGTAAGATGGATTGAGCTCAGAAATCGATAAGTCATAAACTTACAACTTTATACTGTAGTAATTTGTAGATAAGTATAGACTTTAATGTGGACATTCAAACTAATCGATAATTGTATTCTAGGTGTACTTATACCTACTACCGGTTAAACTATTAATTTTATAGATATCGCTTTGTAATTTATTTAACACTTTTATTAGAACGAAATTTGCAAATAATTTTTGTAATTATTTATTTACCTTATGTTTTATATTTGTTTAACTTTTTAGTTTTTAAATTCGAGAAATAACAGAAAAAAATACCCAGACGTTATAATTATTCGAATGTTAGGCGTGTTTGACACTTGTCACATCGGATCATTAATTGCAAATATCTCTGGACGTCTGTAAAACCACGTCGGGTAAACAACCCAATTTAAATAATTAGACATTTTGAAGAATTGAAATTTCAATTATATTAAAATATCGTATCTGTATAATTTAATATCTACTTATGATTTATATAATTAAATAAGTGCTTTGGAATTATTCAGAAATAACCTTCAAATGTAGATAAGAACGTGATGAAATATGTTAATTTGTAAAAAAATTAAAATTTAAAAAAATGCATTTATAATATTTTATTAACAAATCATTATCATTTTGATTTTCTTTAATATGATTTTTATAATTATAATAAATGTACCTATATGTTTAAAAATTGCTAACTATTTTAGTAAAGTTAAATGTATATGTACAACCGGAAGGAGACCGCTCGTTATATGGAATTCGACGATAGATGGAATGTCGTCATGAGATAATAAAAATACATGAAAGTATGAAACATACCTTATTTTGTGGATAAATGGATAATCGTTATTCATTAATAATTACCTACATTTGTACATTTCTGTGTGTTTAAAAATACCTACATTTTATCGTAATTCGTTTTGGTTGTTTTATTTGAAACCTTTGGAAAAAAATCAAAATATGCTAAAAAAATAATAATAAAAGAAAAACAAACTGTGCATTCGCTATATATAATTGTCTCGAGTTCTAGACTATTACCTGGTATAGATAAGAATTTTCAAGTGAAAAACGTTTTTATTCTATTCGATAACAAAGTGTAAAACAATATTGCAACAAAAAAACAAATTTATTTGTATAAAATAAGTAGCAAACGATTATAAAATTTAAAATTTTGAAATAAATACAATATAGGTAGTGGAGACCAATATTTAAAGAATCAAAAGGTTATTCTACTGTTGTTTACGCAACAGACACGTAAGGTTGGTGATTGGGTTAATACTATATAGAGGAACACAATATATACATTGCATAATACATCATTGTAGAGGTATAGGCACAACCACTCAGCAAACGCGTATGACTATAGGTATAGTTCAATATAAATAAAAATATTTTTGTAAAAAATACAGCGACGAGTGGCGTCGACTTTATTATTATATAAGTGAAAAATAAAATACAAAAAATAAATAAAATCAGTTTTCTAGAAATGTTCAAAGAAAGGTTGGTATAAGTGGATTATTACGCGAGATAATCTGTAATACGATCGTCGGCATTAATATCGCCGTAGGATAATTTGAATTGTAATTTTAATATTATTGTTACAGTTAGTAGTAGTTATATGTAATACATAATAAGCATGGTATAGTGTGTACCATCTTATATTCTTATTGCAATATTTTCGTTATTAAGATAATTCAGCTACTATTATAAAAACAAAAAATAAAAAAGAGGGTAAGTGGATGTCGCTCTGCTGTAGAGTAGGTTACAAGTGGGTCAATGTATAATGGATTGTATTTAACTTGAATTCAAGGATTCTAAAAATGGGATTTTAATTTTTAATGCTTTGTTTATCACCATAGAAACGAATAAAAATAAAAATATTATAATATTAATTCAACTTACATGATATTATAATAAATAATAACAATATAAAATATCCAGACTGACAAACCGTCTCAGCTCAGAATCGTTTTTCTTATACAATGATATTATATCATTGAATTCAAGTTTAATACAATCCATTATACAATGACCCATCCTGTAACCTGTTGTACAGCAGAGCGACATCCACTTACTCGCTTTTTTTCTATGTTTGATAAACAACGCTTTAGAAATTAAAATCCCATTTTTAGGGGTTTTTTGTGGTTTGTCGGTGGTTTTTCCTGTGGCATTTAAACAATTATTGAGAAAATCGAAAAATGACCTCTTTAAAATATCATCTCGTTCCTATTTTCTAAAAGATAAGGTACTATATGTTGACTTCAAAGCACTTCTTCTGGTAGAAATTTTGAATACAGGAGAAAAAAAATAAACACCATTGTAAAACCACTAGCTTCCTAGCTCCTTTCAGAAACTAAAATAAAAAAATTATAAAAATGTACATTTTTAAGGGCAATACAGTTATAATTAGGTACCTACATATTTTATTTTATTTTAAGTAATTTTGAATCATTTTATCTTAATTGTACCCATACATAATATTTACATTAAGTAATATACTAATAGATTTTACTGATGAGTGATGACAAACCTTTTTTTTTTATATTCTCATTTAAAACATTAGCTTAAGTAAATACCCGTTTGGAAGTTGTTCAATTACTTATGACAATACATTTTTCTATACCTATATAGTGTCAATATTAGTGAACAACTCAATGTATTTAAAGAATTACTAAAGTACGTACTAGTATTACCTAACTATACGTTGCATATAAAAATGAAAAAATTGATAAGCACAATATAAATCTATATATAATAAATTATTATCATTATTTGATCGCTGTAACTTTAACACGTACAGCACGTGTTTAAAAGACAAAATATCTTTTATTCGTGATTTAACTGGTCAAAAAACGTTCCTTAAATCGTGCATCTAAACTATGTCATAACCATTTTTGTACATGTTAGCAATTATTGTTTATACGTTGAGTTTAGGCGAATTAAAGAAAATCACAAATCCTATACACTGTTATAGTTCTCTGGTCGGAAAATTATTATTTTAATACTATAGTACTATAATAGGTATGATTTCTTGCCGATTTTAACAATTATTACTTATTGTAAAAATTTGTTTCTCATCATTACATAATACTGCAGATGGATCCCCTCCATGCCCTGTAATCACCGTGTGCATGTCCTGCACACTTATAACTCACGCACCGACAATATATGGTTGTTTGTTTTATTAGAAAGCGTTTGTCAAACTCTCCTTAACTATTATTAGTTGTAGACAAATGTCGATTGTAGGTTAAGTGGGAAATCCTTACCCGGGGTTCGAAAAATTATGCTTTGGTGAATTTTTCATTAACATAATATAGTTTATAATACTATTGTATGATATTTTGTATTTTGGTCTAAAATGTAACTGCGCATAACATTTTAATTTTCTGAAGTAGAATTATTATTCGTTGCATTTAAGCAGGTATTAAAAAAAAACTTTTTCAATTTAATATTTAAGAGGATGCCGTTCATCTCGAGCGGAGCCGAAGTGTTGTAATAACTAAAATATGTCGAGCATATTATTATTATTTTACCAGGGAAAAAAGTCACCCGGTTCCGCCCGCCATCGATCACCGACTTTATGGTAATAAGTAATAACAATCTAACGTCTTGAGTGCTTACCTTATAATATCTCTTACCACTTCGGTAACATAAATGAACGGTCGTAGGTAAACTAAACCATCTCCATAAACCGTAAGAGAAAAAAAAAGCGATGGATCGATATTGACCGCGGGGGTCATATCTCTCTCGATTATAAAAATATTAGATCGATCGTTTAGATTTCTGCAGGACCGCTGTTCGTTTTAGACATGTTAAGAGGATGACACTATTTGTTTTCTTTGTCTGACCCAGCAAATTTTGTCTTCACACCCTAGATAATAATCTTACTTTTAAATTTTATAAGAGGTAATTTCACTCTGATTTTAGAAATTTGTATGATTATATATTGCGCGTGGGTCAGAGAGAGAGAAAACAATTAGTGCTCTGATATCCTATTAAGCATAATAACAATAATTATTATACAACTATAGCTGGCAATTGCTAAGACTATGTATCTATTACTGTAT